AATGTATTTTTCCGCAACGAGCCTGACTACATCCAGCGTACATTGGTGGTTGTGACATCAGGACGCCCTGATAGACGTTACTTTAGACGAATACGTCGAATAACACGCACCATGGAGAGAAGGAAGGTCAAGATCTTTATCATAAGACTTGGATCATACAGAAGAGGTGGGTTAATATATTGGTCAGGATTATAATGGATAAATGCTTTTGACGAAAAAAAATCTTGAAGGCTCGATTACACGGAGCAATTTTCTCTTTGATTTGTCTCGCAACAGTGCTGCAATACATATTGCAAGGGTGCATGTTTACACTGTGCTACGGAGACGCAATCGTTGCCAAAAGTAGAAACGAAATCTGTTTTTCACGACGATTGCTGCAACTTGTCTCGCAACATTTCTTTTGAGTTTAAATTGCGCGGTAGGTTACACGTTGTAGAAAAAATTCCCCCATGTAATCGCCAAGCCGTTATTCAAGCAATTTCCTTTCGGCAATTTTTCATTGCAGTCCTTTTCCAATCTCTTTTTTACATCTCCTCTCCCCGCTGCTTTAGTATCCATACGTTTCACTAATACTCACTTATGCTTACAGGTTCATTGCTTGGAATGACGTACAAGGATAAGAATGCCTATTACGTTCGCTCTTTCAACCAACTCCTTGCTCGTTCTGGAGACATAGCCCGAGCTATTTGCCAGCAACAGGTAAGAATATATTTGAAAAATAAAGAAAAGAAATGAAGAAAAAAGAATGATACGATCCAAAAAAAACTTAGGTTCAAGTCAAACGTCGTACTTCACATGAGCCGATAATAAAGCGCTCTTCTTTGATATTATTAGGTTCAGCTGATGTGAAGTTCGACGTTTGACCTTGGTCTAAGGCTCAGGTCAACCGGTGCTAGTAGAGTCTCCTTAGTTGGCGATTCTTCGCAGAGAAAATTGGAGACTCTGCTAGCAGAAAAGGGATTTTTTTTCTGTATTTCTTTTGAACTCATAACAAAAATCAAATCACAAAACATCCACACAAAAATTTTTTTTTTATATCCGCACTTATCGAGAAATTGTATTCTTGAATTTATATTCATAAATTACAAATGCACACTTCCGGTTTTATGTTCGAAGAACCATAACTTAAATAAAATAATTAAAAGAGTGTTTGTCTGTAATTTTCTGGACAGAAATACGATAAGCGACCTTATATACTTATTAACCATACGAAATGGCAAAGTATTTTGACCTCTTTTACCCATAATTCTGATGACGGTCGGACCTTGCTGTTGCCGTGTTGGAGTTTTAATTCTTCGTTTGCACGTTACCTCATCGCAGCCATGCATGTTGGTACCATTTAACAAAAGATTTCTCATTAGCATCCATTGTTAACGGTACCACAATGGCCTCCATGTTTTTGTCTTTTAACTCTCTTGGGATGCTTGCAACCCATCAATACCGAACCAGTTTATGAGCCAGGCTGTATAAAAATATTCACCTCTAACATTTAAAATTATTAAAATATTGAAAGAAGATATGTAGGGACTAATGAAAACGAAAAGCTGTTCATTTATTTACTAAGGATGTTGAATGTTTTTATAGAAAAAGGAGAAAGACATCTACAAGTTCAAAAGAATGATCTTGGAGAAGCCTCCTGTCATCGTCAAAGCACAAGAAAAAGAAAAAGAATCAGTACATGCCTAGAGGATTAAGAGAAATCACCATATTTAATGAACAAGAATGAGAACGAAACCATTATATGAAAGAGATTTATTATTCATTTTAGCGTAAATGATCAAAAATTTAGAAGAATTAGGCCTAGGGCAAACGTCGAACTTTCCATGCACCGAACTCATTAAAAACAATGGATATCAGGTGATAATGAGACGGCATTCTTTGATGTAATTAAGTTCCGTGCATGGAAAGGTCGACGTTTGCCCTAGGCCTTAAATGGTTAAGTTAAGACACTATTTTCTTGGCTCTCATAGAGCTTTTTTCTGATTGATCTAACTTCTCTAATATTTAGAATTAATCTGTAAATTAGTAATGTAGTCTGAGTAGCACTAATAAAGTTCAATGAACATTTAACCTGTTTCTATACGTAGTGTTAAGGCGCTTCTCAATCACACGCGTGAAATCGTAAAATTTAACATCGTGACGAAGTAGGTTTTGGTGGACGTCAATCAATGCGTTTCCATGACATTCCATAGGCACGTACCCTTAAAAGCGTTTTGTTTTCCGACAATGCTGGGAAGCACTTTGACTGGCGTCCACAAAAAATCTATCCCCTCGAAAAAAAATTTCAAGGATTCACACGTGTGATTGACAAGCGCTGTAATCAACTCAAGGTACTAAATGATGTTGGTGGGTGAATATATAACCTTTTAGTTCCCTTGGTTCTTCATCCTTTATTTAAATCAAACTCAAAAATGATCAGATTACTCAGGACACGGACAACTTAAACCACAGGGTTACCATCCGAAGTATCTGTAGTTTCGGATGTGTGGGCTCCCTGTGGTCTCTTGTGGCGTTTGTTTAGTTATTCGCTTCATGAAATTTACAAACATAGCTCACGACAAACGACAAAAACTGGCCTTAAAACGCATCGGACGAAGAAATAACACGCAAATTTCATGAAGTGAATGACTAAACTTTATTTTGACGGCATTTAATTCTTAGGAAGTTTTCAGAAGATGTATTTTTGAGAAGCTGAAATCACTCGATAATTCAAAATTTTATTAAACGAGCGAACGCCACAAGTGACCACAGGGAGCCCACAGATCCGAAACCACAGATACTTCCGATGTTAAGCCTGTGTTCAAACATCGAAAATTTAGCTTCTTAGGTTTCGAAGATATGTGAAAACTAATAAACCTGGCAAAAAACTGACGAATAAAGAGGATATCACAAACTCTTCTCTTGATAATTACCCCGCAAGCAGAGGCTATTTTTATTCCTCAAGCAGAACGGAAGGCAGATAAAGATAAATCTGCAAGCAGGCTACTCTTAAAGTGTATATGACACGAAAACATT